TAGATCCAAGCGGCGTTGTGGGTTATACGCGTGAGTCGAGGCAACGCTTCGCAGCCGTAAGGCTGGACCTCGTGGTTCTCCGTCGAGGTTGCGCGTACTCGGAGAGCCGGAGACCCTATCGCGGAGGTCGGGCCGGCGATGAGCGAGCGCCCTTCGAGAGTAGATAAGACCACGAGATCTGCATACCAAGTCGTCGCAAGACGACCGTCCGAGCTGGTCGGGTAGATCTGCTGTGGGGAGCGGTTACCTACCGTTAGGTTGACTTTGAATCGTGCCTTACGAGCTAGGGGTTTCAGCGAGTTTGGTGCCGACCGATCGATGGAGTTGAGCAGTCGGTGTTGTCGATCTGCTTCCCTTTGTAGCGGGGAAGCGGACGACGAGTCGTCGTCGTGGGTCAAGATGATGTAGGCGTGGTCGAACCCGGATGTACCATGGTCGGAGCCGGATCCATCGTGGTCGGAGCCGACGTATGCGTGGTCGGAGCCCGATCCATCGTGGTCGAGCCGACGCACCGTGGTCGGAGCCGATCCATCGTGGTCGGAGCCGTAGCCGATGTAGGTGAAGCGGTGGTCGCGCAGATCGAATCCACGCCTCTCCGTGGTCATGACGATGAAGCCGTCGGAGCCGGTGGTCCGTGTGATCTCGCCGACGGTGAACGTGAGGCCGTTCGGCGTAGCCATGGAGCCGGAGGTGATGATCGCCTTGTTTGCTTGGAGAGCGAGACGCACACCCCTACTCGGCGCGCCACGCGCCGACAAAATATGGTCGGCGCAGCCTACCTAGGGGTATGCCCAAGGTAGTAGATTATCGGCGAGACGATGCGCAAGCCACAAACAAGACGGTGACGCAAGACCCGACACGAGGTTTTATCTGTGTTCGCCGCCAAGAAGGCGTAATACCTACGTCCTGCGTCGATTGTATTGTCTTTGTATGTTAATGAGAGATGTTTTTAGAGGATCCCCGCCTCATTATATAGTCCGGGGCGGGGTTACGATCTGAAACTAATCCTAGCCGGTTACAATTGCCATATGCGGCCGGATAAGGATTCCTATTCTAACCGACCAGGATCCTGCTTGATCACCAAATCCGCCTTAACTCCTTGCGCAGGACTCCAACCAGGTTGGTTGGGCCGCGCGTCGTCTTTCGGATGGACCGGACCCATCGATCCGGGCAGCCCAAGCTTAGCCGTAAGGGTATAGGGGTTAATACCCCCACACCTGCTCCCATAGTCAAGGGAGACAGATATGGGGAATTTCAATGTCCCAGGAACCAATATGAGATCGATCAAATAAAAGTGGTTCCATATAATTTAGCTGTCGGAAGTTTACAATATGCTCAAGTGTGTACTTACCCTGACTTAGCATATGTTACCGGGTTGCTTGGTAGATATCAGAGTAATCCAGGAATAGAACACTAGAAATTAGTAAAGAAAGTTTTACGTTACCTGCAAGGTACAAAGGGTCTCATGCTAACGTACAGAAGATCAGATTCCCTACACATAGAGGGGTATACAGATTCTGATTATGCGAGAGATGAGAGAAAGTCCATGTCAGGATACATATTCACTCTCGCAGGAGGAGCTATATCGTGAAAAAGCTCAAAGCAAACCGTCACTACATCGTCCACAATGTATGCCGAGTTTGTAGCATATTATGAGGTCACAGGGCAGATGAATTGGCTAAAGAAATTCATGCCCGGGTTGAAAGTGGTAGACGACATACATAAACCACTTAAGTTATACTGCGATAATAATCCAGCAATATGTTATGCTCACAACAATAAGTCAAGTGGTGCTGTCAAACACATTGACATAAAGTATTATGTTGTGAAAGATAAAGTCCGGGATCATATAATTAGTCTTGAGCATATAAGAACAGAAAAGATGCTCGTGGATCCGCTTATAAAAGGCTTACCACCAGTGTGTTCAGAGAACACGTAGCCCGCATGGGTTTAAGGGAAAGCCTATGATTCCTGGATAACAAGAGCCTAATTAAGAATCTGTTTCAAAACAGAGATGCGCATTGTAGCTGTTTAATCAAATGGCAGCTGACCATGACGATGAGGCACGCTCTATGCACTGATCTGTGATAGAATGGGAACAAGAGAAAATAAGTAAGTTAAGTTTAAGTTATAAGTGAGATCAAGGGGGAGAATGTTAGTTGATCTCCACCGACCAATTGGGCCCTTGGATCCGTGTCCTGATCGGAGGCGCCCAACTCTAATATGGTTGGTGGGCCTCCGTCGCACAGCGCCATAAATAGGAGGTGGGAGCCGGGACGCCGAGCACGAGGTTCGCCTGAGCCGCCTAGCACCCCACCTACAATCCTAAACCCTAACCGATCACAGAGGGGGCGCTGCCAGCGACGGGAAGCACCGCCACTGGCCAACGCCGCCACTGCACTGCCGTCCTTCGACACAGCACCGCCACTAGGACTTCACCAAGCAACGCGATGGCGAGCCCGTCTTCCTCCAAGGCGGCCAATGGTTTGCAACCCCTTCACCCCTCTCTTCCTCACTCTATTTATTAATCCAATACTCCTAGATGCTTCTAGGACTCACGGGTTATTGCAAGTGTAAGTAGACATGCTAGATTTATGCATAGAGATCCTGCTTTAACTCTATCAAAGGCTGCCACGGACGACAATAGAAAGCTGTCAGTGTCAAGGCAATGTTGTATCTCCGTAAAAAAATGCAATTATGGGTTGCGTGCCATGTAAAATGGTTCATGTTTAACTAAATTTTTAGTGAAATATATTCATATTTATAGCTCTAAATTAATGTATTATGAAAATATATTTCATATTTAATCTAATGATATTTATTTAGTATTATAAATATTAACATTTTTTAATCTATAATTGATCAAACTCAAGTTACTAAATCGTAACACTGTGTGCGGGGCTGTCAGAGAAACATAGCACGTTTCACCAGCTCCCCTGTGATAAGTTTTTCTTCGTAACAAGTTTTTCTTCGTGATAATGTTTTCTGCAGGTTCATCAACGTGTACCGTGTACATGCAGCATAGTGTAGTAGCAGTAGGATCCACGTACAGTATAGTGTAGTAGCATAGGATCCGGGCATAATCACAACAAGGCATGCACATACACATCGTCGGTGTCTCGCATCGTTTTTACGAGGAGAAGGAGAGAGAAAAAAAGAGTATAGGGTTGGGAGAATGGATGCGTCTGTTAGATGCTTTTGGAGTTTGGATGGATGCTAGCACGTCCTAGCAGAGGAGATCCGGCTGAGCTAGCAGATCTCAAAGCTGCATGTGGGGGGAGTAGTCACTGTGTACTAGACTACTGGTGCACATCTTGCCTTCTTTGCATGGCTTGTAGCTGGAGGCAACAACGAGCTCGAGCATGAAGGGGTCACTGGTTCAGACAAGCAAGTGTCAGGGTGGAGGGAAGACCATGTGGCCCGTTGCTCGTCGGCGCTTTGTTTTGTTCAGATGAGATGTTTTTAGTCAAACCCGCCAGTTCAGTGGACACCGTATCGGTATCGTCTCGTGGACTACGTAGCATCTTTTAAAAAACTACTAACACAATCTCCGCCATGTGCTAATCAGTGTAAGAGAACCAATCACCGTCTTCAAATCAGGACAAACCGTACCTCATTTTTGCAAATGATAGCACGGTTCTTAGAGCATCTTCAAGTTTTTTTTTAAAAAAAATCAATTTCTGAAACCAGTTTTTTGGTCCGAGAACAAAACCGATCGACCCTCCAACAACTTTCGATGGCCATTTCCAATTCTTCCCCGTGGCCAAAAACGCTCCCGGCTCATTCCTCATCACTCCGCCCAGTGTCTGCCCTCCAAATCGATCGAGTTCGTGCGTCCTTTTCTTTTCCAATCCCTCGTGCGCCTAACTGAGGCACTGAGCCATAGCCAGTGGCCACCCCGGCCCTGACACGCTCGTGGGTCGTGGCTGCTAGTGCTAGCCTTGGCTGGCCGCAGCTGCCCGGTGGCGGGAGGTAGTCCGTTGTGGAATCGGCAACATCAGTCTTGCAGCAAACGGCACTAGACCGGAAAAAAATAGTAGGTGAACCTAAGGTCCATTTGTTATACTGCCTCTGTCCATAAAAAATACAATTCTAATGGTATTTTGGATTAATGAGTTTAAAGTTTGACTAAATATATAGGTAAAATTAATGTTTATGACACCAAATAAGTATAGTGTAAAAATATATCTCATGACAAATTACATCTAATGATACTTATTTGATATTATAAATATTAGTATTTTAAATTTCTAGTTAGTAAAAAATTAAGATACTTTAACTTGATACTGTACTCGAGTTGCATTTTCTGTGGACGGGGTGAGTAGTTTATAAGCAGTTTACCCAAAATAAGCTAAAACCATAAAGTAAACACTACTCGCTCCGTTCCAAATTATAAGTCGCTTTGGCTTTTTTTTACATCTATTTTGCTTTGTATATAGATATAATAATATATCTAGATATATAACAAAATGTATAAACCAAAAAATCAAAGCGACTTATAATTTAGATCGGATGGAGTATATCTTTACTGTGTGTATCCTAAATCTATATTCTTCGATGTCTTTTTTAAGAACATCTTGGAGATACTCAGTAGACTTATCATTTGCTTACTTTATGATAAGTTACTAGACAAGGAATCACGGTCTAATCCGCCCGCAAATGAACAGCTACTACCTTTTTGTGATGCAGGCATTTCATCGAAATTTTACAGAAACAAAGTTTACAGGAACCAAATAAATTGCTGAATGATTTTGGAGAAAAAACTTGCGTTTGATTAGAAGCTTGGTGAGGATGGGTGCAAGTGTGCAACTGCATCTCATGTTGCCGGGCCAAAATATCACACGTTGCCATCCCCAAAGGAAAAGCTCAGGATAACGCAGCAAGCCCTTTACTTCTCGTCTTCACAGACCTACGTCCACCCCCAACCCAGAGGCCGCACCGGCGCACCGCAGCACCCCGGACACGAGCTCCACCGACACGTACGCTAAAGCCAGCCAGCCATGGAGCTGCTGCTCCTCCCATGCCGCGCCGCCAGCCCCCGCTCGCTACTTCCAACCAGCCCCGGCGCCTTTCGCCGCGCCGGCGCCACCGCCGCCAGGCCGGCGGCCGCCAGCTCCAGCAACGTCGAGATCATCGACGACGCCACGGCGGCGACGTCGTCGCCGGGCGCCGCGAAGCAGTGGCGCGCGGGCGGGCTCGGGCTGGAGCTGGAGCTATCGGAGGAGATGCGGCGCGGGATGATGTGGCGGATGCTGGCGCCCCCCGCGGCGGCGGTGGCGGCGGACGTCGCGTTCCTGGGGCTGCTCGAGCGCGCGCAGCCCGGGGACGTGCCGGCATGGGCCGCCACCGCGGGCTCCGCCGTGCTCTTCGCGGTGGGGCTGCTCGGGGTCCACTACGGGTTCCTGTCGTCGAGGTGGGATGCGGCGGAGACGGGGTCCGTCGTTGGGTGGGACCTCGCCGTGCGGCACTGGAACGTCCTTTCCATGGCGAAGGAGTACTCTTCCTCGGTGGTGGAGGAAGACGACGACGACGAGGAATACGAAGACGACGAAGAGGAGTACGAGGAGGATGAAGTAGACAGTGATTAATCAAGGGGTAAATGTAATAATATAATAGACCGTGGTTAATATCTAAACCACCTGGAAATGGTTATAACTACGTACTTAATAACTAGCTAGTGCCGTCGGCGGTAGGCCCGAGGCGCTTAGCTTTAGAGCGATTTCGAACAGTAAAGACTTCAATTTCACCTTTGATTGTACGCGCTGGTTCTGATTTTTCTTGAGGTGTCGTTTCTTGGCGCAATCGATGAAAATATTGTTGTATACTATGATGAACGTCTGATTCCAATCTTAACAAAAGGATTCAAAGAATTGCTGCCTAGATCCACTTTGAAACGCTTGAATTGCCGTGCACTGTTGGTGGTGGACTGGTGGTGAATGTCGGATGCGTCCTCAAGGCCTGCTTGGTTGCTGCCTCCTAGACAAGTTTGCACCCAGGTTTAGAAAATCCAACAGGGTATCTTTGTCTAGATTAGACAGCTTTCAAGTCCTCAACTATAGCGCTTGAGTGTCTGACATCGCTTCTCGTCAAGGAAGCAAACCATACAAAAAGTTGGATGGGGCTTGGGTTTGAAGCAAATACTTTGGTGAAGTGTTCACACACACACACAAAGAATTTGGTAACCATAATAATAATTTGGTGAAGTGTTCACACACACACACAAAGAATTTGGTAAAGCCTAGTACAATAACAGAAAAGGACTACTCAGTCGGATTGTTTGATGGTGATTGAAAAAATGAAAAACGGAGGTTTTGCGGTAACATTGGCGGCTGCGATTTATGATGATTGCTATTCCTTATAGAGGGACTTCGCCGATATATTCATTGAGCACTGTCAAAGGGATGTAAACCGAGTAGTGCATGAGCTAGCTAGGCAAACTTTCAGTGTGAAATATAACTTTATTTGAGTCGATGAACCCCTAGTTTTATCCTAAAAACCCTAGTGAGTGATGTAAATGTTCTTATGGATCAATAAAGCTCGTCGAATGGCATTTCCCCCAAGAAAAAAAGACTCCTTACACATGGATGATAATCTTCTTTTTTTTGTTAAAAAAAAAGATGACGATTGGATACAGAACAAAATTCCGAAGCCTTTCCTAGCACCAGTACTTTGCTAGGCTACAATAAGAGAGGCAATTGTGGCAATTCACAAGGCAAAATGGGAATGCAAAAAAGGCTCGGAAGTAGCTGGGCCACGAATTTCCGGCCCAGTAATCTATAGTGGGTCCTGCCTGGATAAGACCATGGCAGCCAATGGACGGCTTTGTCTGTTCAACTCCGAGATCTCACGAACTCCTCCCACAGGCAATGGAGTCCTCTCTTCTCCCTCGATTCACTCGCATCCGTGCCCGCGCCCGCACCTCCTGTTCTCTCTTCTCTCCCACCCTCCCCCGCTCCTCGCTGCGCCTCCGCGCTCCACCTCATCACATCTGCCTGTCCGCTTCAAGCCCCGGAGGATCGAACTCCACCGACGACGGCGAGGGCGAGCGCAGCAACGTCAGGGACAAGGAAGGCCTCGGGACCCAGCTACGGAAGGTTGTGGACGCCTACCGCAACAGCAACAACAACCTACGGACCTTCCTCCAGAACCTGGTCGACGCCGGCGTGGTCGACGAGTCGGACGTCTTCGGCGGCGCGGGGGACGACGACGACCTCCTCCGCGCGCTCATCGACGCGGACCTCCCGGGCGGGGACCCCGACCTGGGCGTGCTGTGGAAGCTCCCGGCCGTCGCGGCGCTCTCCTTCGCCGGCGTGCCCGCGCTGCTCGGGTACCTCGGCGACGCCGCGGGCGCGCGCGTGCCCGCCTGGATGCCGCTCGCCTACTCGCTCGCGTCGTTCCTGCTCGGGTCGCTGCTGGTCGTCGACGCCTCGGTGAGCGACGAGGAGTGGGAGGAGTGGGCCCGCCGGCGGGAGCGCGAGAGGCAGCTCGCGTTCCTCGAGTCGGAGGAGGTGCTGTGGCGGGTGGCGCGGAGGGTGCCGGCCGCCGCGCTCGCGGCGTCCGCGGCGGGCGAGGCGGCACTGCGCGCGGCGGCACAGGTGACGGGGCTGGACCTGCAGCCGCCGCTCTGGGTTGCGTTCCTACTCTTCGGCGTCCTCCTGGGCGTGCCGTACGGGGTGTTCTCGGCGAGCTTCGATCCAGCGGTGGAGGGCTCCTGGCTCGGGTGGGAGGAGTTCGTTAACAACATCCGCGATGTCGTGCTCCAAGCCGGCGATCGCCGTGGCCGGAACAATAAATAGGTTGATGAGAACTGCTGGGGCAGTCGGGATGGAACGCCTCAGTCTGGTCAGATCGACTGACGACCGACGGTTTGGAACAGTTTCGTCAGTCGTCAGAGAATTTTACTGAGATTCATACGAAACAATTCAACTCGGGACCGTAGGATTAGAGAAATACTCTAGTTTCAAATGACCTTTGGAATGCTCACCTTATTACAGGAAATTCCTGTGGAATTAAAGAAAAATTCTGGAGTAGGGAAGGGGCACTATGGCTGATCCTGGTGTTCGCTAGGATTCAGCCGTGACTGTAATCTGTAAACATTTAGTTTGAATGAATACCATAACATAGAGATTGTATATTTCACTTCTGGGATATCCCAGACTTCTGATCTCTGAGGCTAGCTGCAAATCTCGTGCAATCCCCACGGATTGAAACATTGCGTGGCTCATCACTCTGAAAAGGAGCTGTTTCATACCAAATAATTTTTTTCTATAATGAATATTTATTTACAGCTGATGAGCATCCTGGTTGGCAGGCAAATAACTGATCTCCTAGTAATCCGAATGCAACATAAATGTGCGTGTAGTAGCTCTAGCAGAAGCAACCATGCATGAAAAAAACTATCCTCTTATCATGTACACTGAACACCAAAGCCAAAAATATTTGCCCCATGCGTTAGGTTTCACCAAGTAGACATGTTCGGAGAATTTCAGAGCTCTAGATGCAGAACTGAAACTGAAAAGTTAGTGCCTAGTCAGGTAGAGATCATCCCCTCTGTCCACGCTGAAAAGAATCATGTGTCGAGATCCCATGCGAGGTATAAGTCTCTTCGCTCAACCTTGACTTCTCAGCTCGCTTCAGCCGCCTTTTCCGATACCTCCATGCAACTTGAATACGAGTTGCAGCAATGGTTCGCCAGTACGGGGATTCATATCTATTGGACGCAGAGGTTAGTTCAAAAGGAACTAAATTAACAAGTCTTACATTGCAGTGATGCATGATTATCAAAAAATTATTATATTTTGCCATGAATTAGCAAAAACAATTATAAGAACAGCCTTAACTATTCTGGTGGGCAGGAATATGATAATAATAAAATAAATTAAACAAAAATGTGGCTACCTGATTGCTCCCTGCACTCGTGGATTACGCAAGAATCGAGCAAACTGTGAGGTTACTTCTTCCAGATCACTTGCTCTGAGTACAAAAGCTTCAACATTTGTTAAACATCTTACTGTGCGTATAGCAACCAACCGCATACCTTGGAATTTAATTTTCCCACCATCTGAAACAGTAGTAGTTCATGAGATGGGACAACTACAAAACCAAAAGACAAACAGCAGGCAGGAAGGGCACAAATTGGATACCTCTATTGGCTGAAGAATGTTCCAAGTACCAGGTGAGGAGCTCCTCTCCACATACATCTCCATCATGTAATGGAGCCTTGCTACCATCTGCACTGATGCTTTCCAGCTTCCCTCTCACTATGAAGACCATCTTTTCAACAGTACCACCTTGATAAAGAATGTCACTTCCACTAATATATAAGTTTTGTCTTAATTTGTCACATATTGCATCCAAGATAGGCCAATCCATCAAGGTGAATAATCGGACCTGCAAATAATAAGATAAAAATGAGTCAAGCAAGAGTTATCTTTACCAGACAACATTAATAGTAGAAATCATGTAAATGAGGCAACCTACAACGTGAATGAGAAAATACAGGTAGCTACTTTTTTCTTAAACTTCTTTTCCAGTTTCCATCATCACTATGGCAAACTATTCGGTGCAACCACCCTTTTGGTGCAATCATGAAAACCACTTGAAACACATACATAGTTCTAAAAAATTTCGAAATAATGCACCTCCATAGTTATGGAGGTATACATTATCGCAAAAAGTTTAACATGCAATTTTTTTTCTGAAAATTCATATGAAAATGACAAATTCCAGTTGCATATGTACTAGAAGACAATCACAGGAATTTTGCCTTCTAGTGCACATGCCATCTGAAGTTTGTTATTTTTCATATGAATTTTTGTACATTGAGTTTGCACCTCAATTTTTGCAACAATGTACATCTGTATATATGCAATGGAAGTGCACCATTTAAAAAAAAACTTATAGTTATATATTTCAAGGGGGGTTTCACAGGTTTGCACTGAATATTTTGGGCTATTGCTTATTTGGAAGTGCTGAACCAGATGTTTAGCTCAGCACACATTTGGTTGTGGTCCCACATCAATTCAGACCCCTTTCCCCTGGAGATAAAATTCTTTTCCATTCTCTCTACCTAAATAACAGTTACATTTACAAGTTGTGAATGCTAAGAACCAAACAGCAGTAGCAAAGATTCCAAAATAGTAGAATTTCATATAAGCACAGAACTAACTACAGACATGGTACATGAAAGAAAGGATGGGAGTGGAAATACAAGGTATTGGAGTAATATTTGTTGACACCTTAGAAACTAACCTTATTAAGGAATCTAAAGAAGTGGCGACGTATGTCCCTTTGGATATCTTCAGGTAAATTACTCAAAAGCTCCTCTTCATTCACTCCTTGAGTAGCTGCCCAGGTGAACCTTTCAGCTCGTCTAACCCTCCTACACATATACAGAGGTGCAGGTGTTGTTATCTTCCACTGTAAGAATAAAATGACTGCCTTTCGGGTTAGGGTATTTCATCAGAGAGTTTTGGTATATAGCTCAAATATTGATTGAACTAAATGCCCGCGTGACTACAAATTTACAATACACAAAAAAAACATTCCAAACACATTCAGTTTCTTCATTAACACTATACTAGATGGTACAAATTGTGGATATGAAACATTGAAACCCCAATTGCCAATGTCAATTCTGAACTAATCAAATAATTGTTATGTTTTCAGACTATCTGACAATACAGCATACACCTTTTTTCATGACTACAAAGTAAGATTTGTGAAGTATATCATTGCTGTCACAGGGGCCCTAGCCAATCATGAACCACAACCAGATCGGTACTACTGCTTGACAGTATAGTAGCAAATGGCTGCATTAGACATTGAAACATGCTAGCTAAGTTCTTTGTTTTTTGAAAGAAAAAATAGTGATAAAGATTTGCTTAGTAAGTTCTCCAGAGGAACCTTCTCAAATCTTCAGGCAATCGTCTATGGCTCATCCACTTTTCAACATCACGGCGCCTAAGTTGCATTTCCAATCTCCTGTCAGAAGATAAAAGGAGTAAAATGTTCACACATCAAGATAGTTACAATTAAAAATAATAATTTAATCAATCGCATGGGTTTTCCTGTGTTTACTGCGCTTTGAACTACTGCTAACTGCTGAGTGAATTGATCTACTGATGTCTGATGACTTTAACGGGCTTGTATAAAGGGGCCTATAGAGATTTCTTGAGCCAAGGGGGTGACAGCACAAGTTTCACCTATTAGTAGTGACGTATGCATGCCCCTGGGATCAGATTGCTATGTGGGCCAGTCACTTGGGAAGGTGGAGAGGTACTAAAGCATCAAACAGCAGCTGAGCGAACAGAAACCAACAGGGGCTTCGTCTTCCTTCCAATTGCTCCTCCAATCCCTGTATGGCTGTATCTCTGCTCTTCCTGCTGTCTACCACAAATCGAATGCTAATCGCCATCCAAACTCTACCCAATTCCTTGTAGCTTGCACTCAGTCGTTCAGTGGTAGGGCTGTCAAAGAAGCTCGAAGTTTTTCTCTACAAGCTCAATTCGAGCTTGGCTCGTCTGCTAATCAAGCCAAACTCAAGATTGCTCGCCGAGTTTCACGGGCTTAATTTGAATCGCTCACCAGCACACATAGCGCAATAAAATTTCCCACCTTTTGCTACTACTTCCATCCAGCCAGTTCAACTTTTCTAAGCCAACCACCTCCTTCGAGGTCCCTCTCCCACATGCTGCTCAGCCCAAAAAAATGCGAGTCACACACTCCACTCAATTGATAAATAAACAAAGAGAAATCTTATCATCCTCAATCATGTTCTTTCTTCCCAACACAATGCCACCATTTCGTTCTCCACATGGTTCTGCCTGCTTGCCTCGATGTCCTCACCTGCCGAAGGGAAACGATCCTTTCTCTTCCCTCCAGTTACAATGCAAACTGCAGTCACCTAATACCCCATGGACTACTCCATGAGCACTGAGCACGGTAGCAGGCCAGCTGCCATAAATGATTTGATCCCTCAGCTTATTCATGTAGTTGAAGAGAATCCCCACCACCGTGTGCCCAGAGGCACCGTTGTCCTCCTTCGGCAACAATGCTGGTGCCCAATGCTTTGGGAAGCACCGACGACTGTCAACCATCTCAATATGTCATCTTCTTGGCTACAAACTAGCCTGATAAAACCGAGCTTGATCCTTATTCGAGCTTCGATCAAACTGAGCGCCCGAGCCCGAGCTCAAACCTTACTATAAGCTCTAGAGTTCAGGCTCTGCTAGAGCTTGGCTACAAATTTAGTCAAACTTGAGCTTGAGGTGCCAGGCTCGCTCGAGATCGGCTCATAGACATCCCTATTCAGTACCCAGGACACGACATGCCGCAGTGCATGACCGTACAAGCATATAAGCATATACTTACCCCAATCGAAATTACGAAATTGACATGGTCTTCAGTACGACGCTTTTACTACCAACATCTACAAAAATATTTTAGTTTAAATGAAAAGAGCTTATATTATATAAAAGTACTTTTCATAATGAATCCAATAATGTTAATCTTTTGTTGTCAATCTATATAGCAAAATTTAGATATTGATAGTCAACGATAAAACAAGGTTTGACCTAGGACAAACCTAGATGAACTTATATCTACATTTGGGTTAAGTAGCATGATAAATAAGCCAGTAGTATAACCACATACCGCCTTCCAAGAGCTTGGAGAAAATTTTGCATGTTTCCAATAAGCAATGCAAAAAGCAACAGTCCCAGACCAATAATAGCCATCGTGAACAGAACTTCCCATACAAAGTAACTCGGGACAAGGTTTCCTGCTAAGGTACTTATTTGCTGAAATCAAACCATAAACTATGAGTAAAAACACTAGTTAGATTGTAATGAATTTAAATAGAATGGAACCTCATTAGTTACCATGACACATAAGATAGTAACAACCTAAAGATTATACATGACAGTCAGATTGTCACATATTTGGGATGCAACAAAGAGACACCTACAAAAGTAGAAAGGCACAAGCAAATGATGGCAAATACCTGAAACCCCCAAAATAATGAATATATATATCGTTTTACAGCGCTGTCTTCTGTAGTTAGCAAAACAGCTTGCTCATAAATTCCATATTGGAAAGTAGCATTATTTCCAGTGTTAAAACAAGCTTCTGCACCCAAGTCATTGAACCACTGCTGTCTGTACAGTCCACTCCCAATGCCACGTCCACAGTCTATAAAAGAGTCACAATATGGAATGGTCGATGCAGAACAAGCATCTCGTAGACATTGGTTAACCCTCTGTGACAAAATGAGAAACAAAAGAAAATGATACGATTGATCTGGACCTTCAGTATCAGTTAAAACCAATAGTTACCAAATAAGCTGTGATTGAATATATAAATTGAACATGTTACAGATTAACATAGGTATTTGGAGCTGCACATTTTCCACTTTAAGTAGGTATAACGTGTATTCCTCATTCTTCATTAGTGAAACATGTTGCACACTAGATTTGTTCGTACGATTATCAAATTGGAACATTTGAATCAATGTGCACTACCAACTTTTGTAAACAACCTACAAAAGAAATCAACTAACCTGTAAGCCAAAGAGATACCAACATGAACCAACCACATGTCCCGCCAAAACAAACATCAGAAGATTGATCACAAAATTAGCCCATGCTGACTCAAATATGAATCCATTGGCGGACTGACCATCAAGAAGTGGTACAAATCTGATCATACGGGGCACATATTGAAGAAGAACAGTGGCACGCAATAAATTCTTAGCATAGTTTGCAGCAGATAACCCAACTTTAGGAACAACTAGCAGTATCATCACCTTGATCAACAAACAAAGAAAAATATTAGCAAAAAGCATAACGAGTGCAATGAAGAAAAAATGTGTAAAAATATTTTACTTTTCTTTTTGTTGTTAACTACATCGGAAAAGAACAGGTCATCAGTTTAGAGTTTAGACAAGGAACTTTAGCTGTTGACAGATACATGGCATTCATGCAAGTAAAATCATATGAAGTGCTACACAGACAGACAAGGTTCATGGAGCAAAGCTGCAAACAGGTAAGGCAGCAGCAAGTTGTTGACAAACACGAAAATATAAAAGGGCATACCCAGTGCAGAGAGCTCCCGCTTTGTGCGGGGTTTGGGGAAGGGTGTCAGTGGCAAGCCTTACCCTCGCCTGTGCAATGCGAGGAGACCGCGACTCGAACCCGGGACCTTCCGGTCACAGGCGGTAAGACTCTACCGCTTGCACCAGGCCCGCCCTTCACAAACACGAAAATATATTCCTCAAAATTATGGTTGGATGTAAGTATGACTAAATCGACATCAATTCTTCCCAGATGCTTACATGTCACAAGTTCAGGAACAGGAAAAAGTCATGGCATGCCTTGGTATATACAAGGCTATCGAAACCACAATTCATGTTTTTTTTTTGTATTTCTTGTTGACCTTAAATGTAACAGAAACTACTCAGACCTTACATAAATAAAAGACAACATAATTAAACAAAAAGGGGTATGTAACAGGTAGAGTTTCGATATTTTTTTCAATAAAATAAGATGTGTCAATACATTAAAAGTAAAAAAAAGAAGAAACTTATAGTATCTAAAGCAAGAGAAATTAGCGCAGAAGGGAAGCTTTATGTTACCTGAGGGAGTGGAAGCACAACGAAGAAATCAAGAAAAAAGTAACCACAAAGATAATGGATAGCAACTTTCTTTGGCTCATCAACCAAGTCTCCAGCTCCCACCACTCGTGACTCTGGCGCAACATAAGCCAGTCTGAACTGAAAGACAAATATCTAATTATATTCATGAAAATATAGTGACATAAGCAGGTTGGTTCAACTTTCTTTTGACAAGACAAATATTTGATCATTAACAAAGAGAAACCTATCAGTTATTGCAGTATTTCCACTCTCCCTAAGTAAATGCTCGGATACAAAAGGTATGGTTCTATATAATTCCATAAAATAGGGGTATGGTTGGTCATTTCACATTGTTTTTTCTTGATGAAGCTAGTACTTCCTCGTTCTCTGCACTTGGTGGGCTGTGGACAATTATTGCAAAACAGAGGGAGTAAGATCAGGATAGCAAGGATATGCAGCGTAAATAATAGAAAGTTGTTCTGGACAGTGTAACTTCAGTATTTCCAGAAGTGAGTATCTGATCGAAGATTTGTTTTAAAAAGAAAGTGTAGAACTTATTCACAAAGAAGTGTCCTGAATATAACTAATATAGAATGCACATAATAATAATCTTAAATCTGCATACCAAATCACCCATATAGACATATATCACAAGCATTCCATCTTGTACCGACTTGTGTATGAGCGATAAATATTGTATAAAAAATAAAATGTAAAAGCTGATCTGGAAGAGTAAAAGGATGATGAACTTACCTGAAGCAGCATGTGCAGGAAATAAATAGCATCAGTCACACTTCTCACAACAGCAAGTCCTGTAGCAAAGTTCCAATTTAACACTATGCAGTTGCCATCCTGCATTTGACGAAATCAAATAAACAAAAAGTGGTTAGCTCTGATTAAAATTACAGCGTGACTAACAAAATGAAGTAATCAAATGCATATAAGAAGCATGGACATAGATCTGAAGCATACTGAAAATTTTGTATAACATTACCTGACGTACTGATAGTAAGAAGAAGAACAGGGGATCAATGAAAATGGCAATCAGGCATGATATGACAAAGAATTGATTCCACTGCTGAACCGGCTTTGCATGTGGGTTCATAATCGGAATGTATGCCATGATCTGCTCAATTTTCTTCTTCCATCCACCACTGTGACCATAAAGAATGTTATGAATCTTCAACAGGAACAAAGGAAAACATGTTAGTACCTTATTCAACAGATGAACAGGTCATTATTTGCAACTTAGATCAAATGACATATTTCAACAACATACCTTATTGTCTAAAGCATTCGAACCTCTCTGGAAATGTCTTTTATTTTTACAAGCAGGAGGGCAATTCACACAATCAGGATTATCACATTGCCCCAAAGGTCCAGACATCATCAAGTGTTCATTCTTTGGAACCTGTCCACTGTAAGACCACCTATTTCCTCTAATTTCTTCAGGCATGATTGCATGTGGCTTGCTGACTTGTTTTCCCTGTGAAGGCCTAGGAAGCCTATCAGGTGTGTCTCTACTTGTAAATGGAATTCCCGGTGCCGTCTGAGTTGGCGGCTGAACGAATAGAGGACCAGTATGGGGTACAAAGGTGTCTTCTTCATATTCATCATCCCTGACTGGTATACACATTGAAGTACTTCTTAGAGGAAATCTTGGTAGCTCAACATTTCTTAGCAACATGGGAACATCATCTCGCTCCTGGTCAGTCATTTTGAAACACTGCAGCAAGATCCATTACATTAGCACATACTAAACAGCCAAAATATAGATTCTCTGCAAGCATGCATGTATCCTTTATACACAAATGAGATTATCCTTCTTTAGAAAGTAAGAACTCCATGGATATCCAGGCTAGCCAATATTTACTGGTCAATTACAGTGGGATATAACAGTAAAAAATGTGAGAAAACAACAGAAGAATAATGATGTGGTGTCCAAGGTTAAAAATGACCCATCGAAATAAATAAGACTTCGTAATTACTACCATTAGCTTGCAAAAGCACATAAATGGTAATCACTGAAACAACATAAAACAAATCCAAGAAAACAGAATATGAGCAATATCAACAAAACAAAAAACAAATTGCATTAACACTAACACTGTTAAGACCTACCTGTATTATCTGAAAGGAGAAATCAAGTCTTCATCTAAAACTCTGCTGGCCCTGCAAACGCAACAGCATGAAAAATAAGGTTCGAAGAGTTACAGAAAACAATGAATCTCATAATGTGCACATTACAGTAAACATGAGCCAGTTAAAAGGTGCGTGAGTTGTGTGTGCAGTACTCCAACCAAAAAAACAAAGGATGCAATTGAGCAATTCTAGCTTCCTATCAAGTCAATCTATCTCAACTTTGGCCAAATATATACAAAAAATGTACTCCATGAAATATATTTAATCAAACCTAACTTATTTTGACTCAATCTAAAACCCCAGTTGCATCTATTTTGGGAGGGAGGCAGTACATGCACATGAGACCGTTAATCAAGAGAACCTAACTGACGCGATTTAGCGTCTAACGAGGATTCTGGTTACCCATTACATCTGGTTGAGAGAGGTGGGGGGAGACAGACGATCAGGAGCAGAAGCAATTTGTTGGCCCTAGAGGCCCCTTCGCGCAAGTAGAGAGCGCATCAACGGAATCCGATGAAACAATGGCCGCCTGCTTAAAGAGATTACCAGAGCCCCGTAAACCCCAGAAGAGAAAAAGGCCACGACAAAAATTACAGCCGTGAGATGCATAAAGTCCCAATAAAGCAACTTCCACATCTCAACCTCACGTCCTCCAGTGATGAGATCTGGAAAATGCGCGGAAAAAAGGACAATACATCCCACCATCCAAAACGCGTCGACCCGCGGCGCCACCTCTCGTTAGGAAACGCTGGAACCGGAAGCAATCCCATAAATTACTCCAGACCCGCGTTGCGCGAGCTTTGCAGCGCGTCGGAAACCCCCGCAGAAACCCCACCAGATTTTGCATAAACATAAGCAACCAAAAATCAACTCCCGCCGCACCACAGCTGCACCTACTCCAACCCCATCTGCCCAGACACGCAAAGCGATAGGTAAAGGAAGGTCGGAGTGGCTAACCTGAACTGTTCGTCGCGATGCGAGGAAGTGCTCGGGATCAGCAGCCGAAACGCACGCAGCAGCAGGCAGCAGCAAATCGCTTTCGAGCTGTTCGATTCGCACAGCGGGCGAGAGCGAGTTCTCTCTCTTCTTTTTCTTTAATCTATTACTCCCGTTTCTCTGGCTTCGCCGCTAAGCAGAGACAGGGAGTGAGATGGAAGAGCGAAGAAGGAGCGAGGAGTCAAAAAGACGTCTCGCCTCGTTTAGCAGGAGCGGAGGCGGAGGCGGAGGCGTGGCGTGCTAGGGACTGGTTAGTTCCAAAAATTTTCATCATAATCTATCGCATCAAATCTCGCGACACCAAATATTAAATATAGACGAAAAAAAAACTAATTACATAGTTTGATCGGAAATCGCGAGACGAATATTTTAAAACTAATTAATCCATGATTAGCATAAGTGCTACAGTAACTAACCTGCGCAAATGCTGGATTAATTAGCCTTAATAAATTCGTCTCACAGTTTCTATACGAGCTATGTAATTAGTTTTTTTATTAATATCCGAAAACCTTTTCCGAGAAACATCCGACATAACCTCTAAAATTTTTCATTTCGTAACTAAAGACAGCCTAGACTGTCAACTGACACCAGGACACGAGGGATGTTTAGATCTGTGGACCGTCTAGTCAGTGTCCTGTGAAGGTTTGAAGTTTTGAGCATGGTTGCGGTGGAAGTGTCGCTAGCAGCAGCCAGCAGCTGCGGACGGCCGCGCCTGTGGGTCGTGGCCGGTGCAGGATGGAGACCTGCTGGATTCTTCGTCGTCGTCGTCGTCGTCTTTTTTTTTCATCTTTCTTCTTGACGACGCATTATAGTGTAACGTTGACTTGTTTGTTGTGCAATGGGTGCATTTGATTTCTTATCAAAGCTGACTCGTACCTTTCTCTCATCTTAGGGGGCGTTTAGATCAAAAAAATTTTGGATTTTGGCTCACTGTAGCATTTTTGTTTGTATTTGGTAATTAGTATCTAATTATGGACTAATTAGATTCAAAAGTTTCATCTCACGATTTCTCACCCAACTATGTAATTAGTTTTTTTTTCGTCTACATTTAGTACTCCATGCATGTACCGTAAGATTCGATGTGACGGGTACTGCGCAAAATTTTTTGGAATCTAAACGCCCCCTTATTACCGGAGAAAGAGTTTGTCTCGTTTTGATTTGTTTACGAATCCATAATAGGGTTTCCTAATAATGTCATTTTTTTTGTGTTTTAAATTACTAGACTTTGGTATTTTCGACTGACAGAACGGGCGCTTTTTGTTGGGCCATCATGCATGTGTTTAGAGTGTTCGGCTGCCATTATAAGCCATGGTACAGTATTTTCCTCTCTCAACAAATCAGCCGTATAAATCAGCACATGCGACTTTACGAGCAACTGAACAGATCCTTTGACCAAACCAGTGCGTCCCTTTTTGCAGGGTGCCATAAAAGACAATTGTTTGAGTTGGGAGGCTACATGGATTGGCTTCCCACAAGCTCTAGCTGATGCTGATCCAAACATTAATAACTTATAGATAACTTTTAGTCCACAAACTTCATAGCTTAGACATATTAACTTGTAGACAATGCAGTCACTTCAGCAGATCCCATAATCGAACAGACTGACCAACTTTAACGACCTAGCTAAGATTATTGGTTGCTAAAAAATAATAATTTTACATGCATTATTTGTTAAAGTATCTAGAATTTAACCAGGTATAGATAAAAATATTAACATTTATGACTTAAAATAGGTAAAAATAAAAATATATCTCATGATAAAATATTAATATTTTTTCATATCTAGTTATTCAAATTTAATATACTTTAATCTGTAATGCATTAGAATTGTATTTATTCTGGATGGAGGGAGTATTTTTTTTCAAACGAAACCTCTAGCTTAGATTATAACAGTCCTGTAATCTATACTTTCCTTGACTTTTCTATTCTAAACAATTCACAATTTACAAGTGAAAGCTTTTATAATCTTTTGTTGGTCAAATGCACCATAGTCTACTGTTTTCTAATCAAACCTATCAGATGCCTCTACAGTGGAGAAAGGTATAGGTCGGCTTTTTTTTACTGGAAAAGAGTTTGTCACGTTTTATTAGAATCCATCATAATTTGATTTATGTTTGTCATTGTAGATGTGTCCCTTTGATGAAACTAGTTTGCCAAAATTTGGCCATGCTCTCAAACTTTGATCACGAACAAATTTTGTTTCACGGTTGTTGGGCCTATAGTTGGGCCGGACCCCGGCCGATTTTGGCCCATCTGGCGCGCGGGCCGCCTTCTGGAGTTATGGTCGTGGAAACGTCAATTCTCCATGGCCCTCCTCGGAATGACCGTCTCTTCGACTCTCCCACACCTCTGTCGCTTCGCTGCCGTTCGCCACCTGAGTCTTGTCGCCGCCGCCGGGATGGCCGGAGTCACCGCCACCGAGGTGGTCGGAGTTCCCTCCACCTTCTCCTCTGCCACCGCTCAGATCGGGGGCTTCCTGTCGAAGAAGCCTTACGCGCCGCCGGCGTGGGCCACACACCTCTCCCCCATGCCTTCCCACACCTTCTCGCTCGGCCATGTAAGCTTCCCTTCCCCATCTATTCCTGCCCCACTGCTTGACCGCTACCTGCTCTATCCATAACTTCAGATTAGTTCGAATTGACTTGAACTCCGTGTTTGAGTTGATCACTTTCGTGTGACTCGTGAATTATGCTTTCAAATCGAAACAGTTCCCAACACCGATTCACAAATGGAATCTGCCCAATTTGCCGGAAGGCACGGAAGTATGGATCAAGGTGCAACCAGTCTCCCCAGTTCCCATTAAAATTCAATTGAAAACTTGCAATATATGTTAATTTGACATTTTGTTTCTGACACGGTACTTTTTGGGGATTTGTAGCGAGACGATTTATCAGGCATGCAGTTGAGTGGAAACAAGGTCCGGAAGCTGGAGTTCTTGATGGCAGATGCTGTGGCACAAGGGGCAGACTGCGTTATTACTGTTGGTGGTATACAGAGCAACCACTGCCGTGCCACAGCTGTGGCTGCGAAGTATCTCAATCTTGATTGCTACCTGATACTACGTACCTCCAAGGTCAATTTTGTGTTGTTGGTGATGTGAAATCTGTAGAATGCTTTGGCATAATTTGGTTTTGGTGGAACATTTTCAGCTTCTTGTGGATAAGGACCCTGGTTTGGTTGGCAATCTCCTTGTCGAGAGACTAGTTGGGGCACACATTGATCTTGTGTCAAAAGAAGAGTACGGAAAAATTGGCAGTGTGGTAAGCTCTTCTTCATGTTTTATTATGTTATTGGTGTGAACATTTATTGTGTTTCTGCATGGCCATCAGTAACCAATGCCTTTGTTCCACTGTGGTGTTACTTGTCATTCATGCATGATTAGTCACTTCTCTAGAGAACCAATCAAGTAGCTTATACTTAAGTAAATAAAAACTGTGCTTTTTGCCACTGTACACTGACACTTGCCGTAGTTTTTTTTTTTTTGGACTAGGGAATTTCTAACCGTGTGACATGGACTTATTTGGTGTAGGCTTTAGCTGATCTGCTGAAAAAAAGGCTTCTGGAAGAAGGGAGGAAGCCATATGTGATTCCTGTTGGTGGATCAAACTCATTGGGAACTTGGTATTATTCTATACTCAGTGCTAACTGCCAAGAGCAACTCATGGTTGCATATTTCATTTTGGTGTTTATTAAATAATCTGAAGTTACCTCAGGGGTTAGTATCCATGAATGGTGGCCTTTGTCGTTTTGTTGTAATATTTGTTGGCCTTTATGCTACGACGGGATATGTATAGATTACATGTTGAATCATGTGATAACGTTTAAGACATAAGACATTTCAATATTAGCATAAGACATAAGACATTTCAATGTTGGTGTAGTGCAGTATACTGGCTAGCTAGTGGAATGTAAGAAATTGCCTTGTGTGTAAATATTACATAATTTATTATGGACCTTGAGTCAGAGTTTCATAATAAAATAATAAGAATTCAAGATTACATGCTGTAAAGGGTTGTACTTCAAATAATCTGGCACATACCATGTCAGCTTTTTATAAATGAATTCAGTTTAGAAAGTGCAGCCTGATCTTTATAAATCTTACTGTTCAGGGGATATATTGAGGCAATAAGGGAGATCGAGCAGCAAATTCAGCAATCTGCTAATGTTCAGTTTGATAATATTGTTGTTGCATGTGGCAGGTATACTTCTTATGGGTAATTTTGTGTGTGCAGTTCTTATTCTGTCATGCCTAGATTCTGAAAGTTGCAAGGCATCACTTTATGGCTGGATAATATTTAACTTCATGCAGTGGTGGAACCATTTCTGGCCTTGCTTTAGGATCCAGATTGAGCAGCTTAAATACAAAAGTATGATCTACCCTTGTTTGTTGTATTATCTGGCACTGAACTTTCTAGACTAATATCCTCTCGGTGGATAGGTCCATGCATTCTCTGTTTGTGATGATCCTGAATACTTCTATGACTATGCCCAAGGCCTGATTGATGGACTTAATTCTGGTTTGGATTCGCATGATATAGTTAGCATCGAAAATGTAAGTACATTTTGGAATTTTCATTATTTATTATTGGTAAATCATTTTGGTGTGCTAACTCCAAAAAGTTCATCTGCAGTGCCTTGTTTCAACTTGTTTTAAATATATAAACTACATTTCATAATCAAAATTTTGCAACAGTCAATGAACATTTGACATTCTCTTTAACTTCTCCTTGACAGGCTAAGGGATTAGGCTACGCCATGAACACAGCCGAGGAGCTTAAGTTTGTCAAAGACATAGCTGCAGCAACAGGCATTGTCCTTGATCCAGTCTACAGGTGCAACCTATGTCTGAATCAATGAAATAGATTTGGCATGCGGTCTATGTTTTGGTATTTGCTAGTCGTAAACTGTATAAAAATACGTGCATCATCATTTTAATGCAGTGGGAAGGCAGTTTATGGATTGCTAAAAGACATGGCTGGCAATCCAGCCAAGTGGAAAGGGAGAAAAGTTCTGTTTATCCACACAGGTGGTCTTCTTGGGTTGTATGATAAGGCTGACCAGTTGTCATCTTTGGCTGGGAGCTGGCACAGAATGGATCTTGAAGATTCTGTTCCACGCAAAGATGGCACTGGTAAGATGTTCTGATTAATATGGTCCATGTGCTTCCATGATGGCTCATTACAACAACAACAACAAATGCCCTGTTTGCTTGGCTGATAAGCCATGGTTGAAACCTGAAAGTACTGTTGGCTGATTTGTTGTGAGAGAAAAATACTGTTCGTTGGCTGAAAAAGTACGGCTTATAAGCCAAGCGAACAGGGCAAAAGCCTTTAAGTCCCAAACAAGTTGGGGTAGGCTATTTCGGGTTTCATCTCCATTAGAATGTCTAGATTTAACATTGGTTCGCCACGCCTATCACAACCCTCCTCCTTTACCAGGGCTTGGGACCTGCTATGTTGAGACAACATAGGCTTCCATGATGGCTCATTCTTGCAAACATTGTATTCATCATAGAGTTTTTACTCTTACATTTGTGCAAGAAAATGCAGAATAGATGGTTCACATTGTATAGAGCACTGATGCAATTTAAGAATAAAGCACATCTTTCTGCCATTTGGAATAAATATTTTTATGTTGAGGTTTGCGTGTCTTCTCTGCCTGCAACCTTGTTTTTGTTTGTAATAAGAACTTCTAATTTGGAAATTGCTTTCTGCTACAAGGACATGCCTATCAGTAGGTCTTTAGCACCCTCAACAAAGCAGCTACCAAGTGCCAACCTGTAGGGTTCCCTTATCTCCTGAGTTTCAGTTAAGAACCACAATAACTTATACAAAAAAGCAACTACATTTGTTGTCATTCATCCTTCAGAATCCTGTGAAGTAATCATTGATATTTAGTAGGTGAAGCCTGGTCACACACATAGATAAAAAAAGCAGAATCACCAATGACACATTCAAATGGCCTGTATACTTTTTCTTACATAATTTCACAACGAAAAACATATAAATAAGATTTAATAGAGGGAAAGTCACAGATATCACGACTGGACAACAGATGTCAAGTAATAACACTTAAGTTAAATACCAGAGCTAACACATCATCCTCACAAACGAGGTCAACCCAGTTGTACTAAATGATCCTTGCACTACAAAAGTTCCACCTTTAAGCAGAAAAGATCAGGCACTCGATCCAATTGGTCCATGCACCACTGTAACCGGGCATGTTGCATTGTTGACTACATAGTTGCTGACACTTCCAAGGAGAGCCCTGCATTGAGATCCAATGAAATGTAAAAAATTAAGGGAGCTGTGTTAAGCCAAAGACTAAGCACTTGACAGAGGAGAGGTTAGATGTTAACCTTTTCAGTGGCCCTAAGCCTCTGCAACCAAGCACAAAGGAGTCCACCTTGAGATCATCTACCGCCTCACAGAGTTTCTCCCTTGCATCACCCCAGTAAATCTTTGCTAGTACTTCCACCTGATCAAGCCGACATAGAAGCAAAATTTTACTAAACAGCATATTTGGATACAATATTATTTTTTGTTGCCTCCAAAAAGAAAAATAATTCTGTAGATAGTTGGAGCCATGAAAGGCAGGTGACAGGTGACCTTTTACAATGTTTGGCTGTTGCGTTTAGCCTTACCAAAACATTAAAAGCGGGGTTGACAAAGCTGTGCATATAATCTCAAGGGACTGCCATGGAGAGCTCTATTGGCTGTATGGGCAAACGATGTTTTCATTATGTCAGCTGCTCACTCAGTACCCTTATTAATTCTGCTGGTTGTTTAATAGTTGGGTAGTGTTTGGCCCATTGTTTTGTCATGACTGGTTCACATAGGGATTCACACTATTAGACGATAATACAGGAGGCAGTAATGTCTGAAAATGATTCATCTAGTTTGATGTTTAGGGAAGCTATGATATAAATATAACATATAGCAGCTAGCCAGCCACCCTAAACTTGATTAAATTTGAGATTATGGTCTCATTATGATTGACCTGACTTCCGACAACACAAGTCTACATGAGAATTTGAGTGAATACTCTTCTTCTTTTTTTTCCTTGTTGGATACAATTCTGATGGAATCCTAACTATATTACTCAGATCTGTAGCATTAGGTGTGAAATTTAGGCCATAGCCCTTGCTATTGTGCTATACAAAAATACTTTGGATTGTATCCCTTGCAAACTATGCGTTCTGTTTTTTATTTTTATGTAACAGTACAATTTCATTCTCTAGACTAATCATCTAGCAGAACCCTTGAAAAAAGAGTGAACAAACTGCATGATCGCATATAACAGAAAATTCCGCCAACAAGTTAGTAGTTGCTGTAGAGATATTACCTGCTTGGACTTGGATGCAGCTAGCAGGATCTCCAGTATCTCTTTATCAGGGTTCAATCCATACCTTGCTTGCACGTTCATCTCCATGAACTCCGGTAGAGGAATCAAAGCTTCAAGTTAAAAAAAAAAGAACAGAAACAACGGTGCTGTCAGCTGACTATCTTTGGGATCGAGAAGTCTGAACTCAAGAGAGATACCAGCAGAAGTGAAAACTCAGTGATGATTCTACTTACGCGGGCCGGTGCTCTTCCAGAGCTCCTTGTGGCTGGCGTCCGCCCCCTTGGGGAGGACATGGACGAGGATGATCCTGTCGCCGGCCTTGAGCAGGTTGTCGACGGCCCACCTCGCGGCGGTCTTGCTGGACGGCGAGTAGTCCATGCCCATGCCAATGGTGCGCTTCTCGGCTGCCATGCCCGGACCTGCTGCGAGTTTCTTGTGGAGTTCGCCGGTGTACGAAGGCTGTGGAGGTGTGAAGCTGAAGCTGGGAGGGAAAAGGAAGGTGGTGCAGGAAGGCCGAGGCGCAGAGGCAGCTATATATAGCGCTGTTCCTGGGAAGAGCTCGGGTTCTGCTCTGAGTTGGAGTACTCGTACAGGTTTAAGATTGTTGGAGTCGAGCCAAATATCCCCTACTGACACTGTTCGTAGGAGCCTAGGTTAGCTTTATTCCTTGAGGTGAAGGTGATCGAGTCGGTTTCTGACGGTTGGGAGGGCATTGCCAGCTGGACATACTATGTGGCACTAAACGTCCAGAAGGCGCTCTACTTGTCTAGAAAGCCCAAGAAACGGTGGCTTATCAGTGTAGTTTTAGTAAAGCTCCGGCTGTTATCTGGCTCCAAGTGTAGTTTTAGCAGTCGTTCATGACTCATGAGTTATCAGTGCCAACCGAGGTCTCTTTCCTGTGGGCAATCACATAGAGTTTGACTAGAAGAGAGGTGTCCAAAAACCAAAATAGAAATTCTCGCTTTCTTAACAGAAATAGCTTGCTTCATTATTCATTCTCGTTATGTTTGAACCCGACACGGTATCGTTACCAATAGTTGTCTGCTGAGGCTAGCAGAGGCAAAACTGTGGGCCGGCCGGTGTATGGGTTTGCAGGCTGAGGCTGGTGCTGGAATGGAGCCTTCTTTTTCGCTCCTTGCCTAGTCCCTACAGGCAAAAGCTTGCTTGTTCAGTGATCGTCTTGAAGGGTCGTGCATATCTGCTTTGGTCAGCTTTGTCCCGGCAAGTAAGAGAGCATAATAAACAGATCAAAACATGCCTGGAAAGGACTTGTTCAGTGCGTACGTAACTACGTATGGATGACAGGTACTTGCTGATCCGAGGATATTTTAGCTGAAAGGGATTTAATATTTTAATTCCAAGTCTATCCGAGAATTGGCTAATCACACACCAATGGGAAATGGATACTGACACGTTTCATGTGCAGTGATTCAACACAACAGTAGCACCTCGTCTTCGTTCGCTTGAACTTATCAATCTGACTTATCAATCATGGTACAGTGTTTTTCTCTCGTAACAAATCAGTTTCGGTCGGATTATTAGCCGCAAAAACCATCATGCCACATGGACCAAACCATTCAATGGGCCTCCACATAAGGCAGTTCTTAGATAACTGGGCCGTTGTTTGGCCCAGCGAATGCCCCGATACGACTTGTCGGAAATTCTGTTCGCTCTCGTTTGGTGCATTGGCCGTAGGAACGTCAGAGTCAGACGACAGACCATGTCCGAGTGTACGGCGAACTAGCGAAGGCAGCACCGAGTCACCGAGCCTGACCTGGGTGTTGGGCTGCTGGCTGCCTCCTCGTCGGCGCGGCCTCCGGTTCGCCGGCGTAGGCGTCGCCGGTGCTCATACATCTCCCGTGCGGTCCCTTGCCGCACTTGATCAATGTTCTTTCTATGATGCTTGTATGAGGTCATTAAATTTTTCTTTACATAGAAATTACTATGGAAACGGAGGTTAGTTTCTATAGATCATTTATTGTTCTATTTTTTTCTTGGAAACTATCCATTAAACTGTGGGTTGAGACTGCCCTTAATGATGACAAGTACATCTTCTTGGAGGAGGAAAACTTAAGCATCTTTTTGGTCAGTGATTTCCGCTTTGCTCTAAAGTTTTATTAAGTTTTATTTATATCTGATGATTGGCGTCAAACAATATTTCGAAAAAAAGAGATGATTGCGTCAAACAGAAAAAAAAAATTGGAGAAGAAAAAACGATGGTAACACAAACTTGACTGATGAGCAACAGAAGCAAAAATGTAAAAACGATGGTACCACAACAAACTAGCACGTAGACTGATGTGCAGTAGGTCCGAATTTTTTATTTTTAGCCTTTTTCAAAAAAAAATTCATAAATATGTCTCTGGAGGTAAGATTTTAAAATTTGGACCCTTAGCTCAGCGTCACCGTTGCTGGCACCGAAGTCTTGGGCTCGACGCAAACGTGGCGGTGACTTAGTAGGTAGCTCGGCGCCGTAGATCCTAACGCCGAGCTCAGATATCTGTACAGTGGCCTTGCTGCCCCATTCCGTGCGAAACAAATACACCATGCATGCTAGAGCTAGCAGTATACTACAGCAATCTTGACCACTTGCGGTCACGAAGTATTCCAAGCATTATCTGGAAATACTCCAGTTGCATGCGTTCCTGCTGCGCTGGTCACAAAAAGATACTATGATATACACGCGGCATGATGCATGAAGCATGTATCTGTTGTGTGTGTATATATATAACTATTATTCTGTAGTTGGTCATAGAATAATTTATTCTGTGACCACTTTGAGTTACGATAGTTACTATGCTAATTTACGAGACTACAGTACCTCCTTACTAAGTGATTTACTATAACATTATAGTAAATATCACTGTGAGTTATGGTAACACGAGTATCGTAAATGCATATTCATGTTATCGTAAATTAGTACAAACATTATCGTAAATCAAGTTGGCTATAGAATAAGCCATTCTATGGCCAACTGCAGAATAGTCTTACCATATATATATATATATATATATATATATATATATATATATATATATATATATATATATATATCACGCGCGATGCACGACGCGTTAGTACATCTAGCTACAAAACCAACGCACAACGCAATGAACATTTGGTAATTGCACAAGCGCAACTTGCATTGTTCTCGACGGTTCTCCTCGATCGATTTTTAAAATCACGGAGGCATCCCTCTGCACGACTGTAGTCGTGTATGTATTTCCTATCCTATATATATAGAGAGAGTCCTTACGTGACGATACGTACGTCGATCGATACACCGTGCGCTGTAGGTTTTTTTAAAGAAAATTCTGTGTGCTGTAGGTTGTTGCGAGTTGGACGTAGTGCACGCGTACGTGGAGCTACCTATCCGGAGAGTTATCAAACGGCCGCTCCCGCTGACTCGATCTTGAAGACAAAATCGCTTGAATAACGTACGTTCAAAGCCTATAGCTATCCGGCCCTTAAGTGCCATTAAAAAATAAAATACAGTATTCCTTTGTTACAATCTATTCAGAACTTTTTTTAAATTCTCCTTCTGTGGCACTGCCGCTAATTCTCAGCAAACAAGTCAGGACCTAACGCCATCATTCAATACGATCGCTCTATTCGCTTCGGCTTATAAGCCGTATTTTTTCAGTAACGAACATTATTTTTCTTTCACAATAAATCAGCTAACAGTACTTTCAGTCATGGCTTATCAACCGAAGCAAACATGACAGATATCATAACTTGTGAATAATGTACCACTAGCACGCTCGTCACCAATTGTGAATTACGTAGCCACGTGATGAAACTCATTTTTGCTTAGAGGAGAATAATATAATTTCGGCACCAGCAATGGCACATAAGGAAAGAGAAAAATGTAAAACGATGGTATTAAGAAAACCACATAAAAAAGATATGGTTACGAAGTATACTATATTTTAATGGTACTGATGGATTTTTCTGCACGTTTGGGAGTACTCAAACTTGAGAGAAAACCGTTATAAAAAAACTACGAAAAAACCACTGCACGATGCATATGCACGCAGCGACAGGAAGAAAGAAGGGCTCCCCTTTGCATGTGGGCCAATGCTGGTGTAGGCAGGCAGGCAGCAGAACATGATGGCGGCACCAAGATTTCAAAAACGCAAAACCGCGGCAGCCACCATGCGGCGCTCCCCTCCCCCGGACCCTCTCAAGGATGCAGCCTGCACTAGCAGTCATGCACAACGAGCTCGGTGAAAGTACATGGTACTAGCCGCGCGACGTGGTAGCGTCCGGCGCCTCAATGTTCGTGCGAGCACCGAGCGCCTGCCGCCTGCGTAGGACCGGACGCGTGGTGAGAGGGAGCACGAGCGAAGAGGACATCCAGGCATGGCGATCGACAAGACGCGAGAGGCTCGATGAGGAATAAAACCTTTCGAGATCATGGCGCCAAGCTCGGTGCCATAGATCATGGCGCCAAGCTCGCGCGTCAGGAATCTACGACGCCGAGCTGCCTGCCAAGTCACCGCCACATCTGCGTCGAGCTTAAGACCTTGGCGCCAGCAACGATGGCGCCGAGCAGTGTAAACTCGGCGCCAGCAACGATGACGCCGAGCTAAGGGTCCAGATTTTGAAATCTTACCTCCAGGAGCATATTTGTGAAAAAATTCAAAAAAAAAAGGCTAAAAAATAAAAATTTCGGGCAGCAGGTCACTTACGGAAGCGGGCCTTGGAAACCCAAATATGGATCGCAACGCGAAAGCGCTAAGAGCAGCAAGGATCCAGTAGGAAAACCCCGCGCAGACCACCAACACAGATAGGGGCCAAAGCCTTATTCTCGAGGGAGTACCCCTTCTACCACACTAGCACTCTCCCACTCGAGGAGATGGTAAGCCAGCGCACCCGCCGAACCGAACGAACGAACGCGTTCTGTGCTCTGCCGCTGAGCTCTCGTGGGCTATCGAGACATGGAGACGTACATGGGCCTCTGTTGTTGGGCCGACAGGAAAACATTCAGACTGCGGGCTGCAATGGTTCTGCTAAACATGGGCTCGGTCTTTGACGTCGTCCATGGGGAATTGGGGATTGTAGAAGGAGAATATTTCGACAATTCGACCATCAACAGGACCAGCTTTTCGTCGCCACGTAAGCAGCCCCCGCGGTACGCTGCGTACGTTTGTTTAACGCGGCACGCACAAGCACAGAAGTCTCCGACACATTCTATACTCAAAAGTCCACTGCATATTTTGTACGCACTACCTCTGATTTTACACGACGGGATGAATTAGCCGTATGCAGTGACTGAAGCATGTAGTGATTGAATCTACTTCCTTGGACTCCAAGGTTCTGCGATTGCAACCCGGGGACCACAAATTTCAAGACGTCCTGCATGGAAGCTGGACTACTTCTTCACTGAATGTTCATGTGGATTCTCGCGA